ATGCTAGTGGGAGAAAAGAAGATGGAAAGTTGAGACATCCTGCCGATTCTCCTCAGTGGAAGAACATTAATAAGAGTTGTTTGGCACTACACTTGCCCTTGTTGCTATTGTTCTATAGTACGTAGGTAGGACAATTCAACCATAATGTTTCTCAAGTAAAGTCTGAAGTTGTATCAAGTACGTGTGATTGTACAGAATGCTATACGCCTTAGCAAGGAAAATACTTGGTGTATTCCCATTTTAAACTCCTAACTTGTACTCTCTCTTACATGCTTTTGATATAGACACTTTTTAGTGGATCCACATAATAAAAATAATCAATCTCGATTTGCAATCTCATGAAGTATAAATGAGAGAGTAGAATTTTTGGAATCTATGTAGTAGATTTCCCTTAGAAAACCTCCTAGCAAAGGCTATGATTTCTTGTATGTCCCAGCATCTACATATATAGCTGTCCACACCGTACCTTAGCTATGCTTTGTAATAATTATTATAGTATTTTTTTCAAAATGGCATTTATTATTTAACACACTCTCTCTCTCTCTGTTTATGTGTGTAAACTTAAGAATGCATTTCCTCTGTATAAACTTATACACATATGTATACATATTTTTTATTTAATTATTTTTATTATGTATATTTATTACTATAGTTTATTCCTAATTTAATTTTAAGTTTTCTATATATCAATATTATTAAAATAACTATTAATTTTTTAGTACAATAAATTTAAATTTTAATTAACTAAGAAAAATATAATGAGAATGACAAATATTGATCAAATAAATTTAAAATGAACAATAATTTTCTCATATATTTAAAATTTGACCCTTTTAACTTTTACTTGCCATATCATCTCCCTTTTTTTTTTTTTTTTTTGGTTATTTAGTTTTTTTTTTTTTTTTTTTTTTTTTTTTTTTTTTTTATTACTGACTCGATTACAATGCAGTATATATTCATAGCTAATTTCTCAATCTATTAAAGCATAAAGAGTCAATACCACCATCACTGGGGCTCAAACCCATAACTTCCAATTTGGGAGAGTCACTTCATGCTAATAAATCAAACGGTCATGGTTATTTAGTTTAATATTTTCAATCATACATATATTTCTTCTCTATTTTTATTTTTTATGCACCTACTTTATTGAATAATACATAACAATAATTAATTAAAGTCTAACTATATATAAATATTCTAACTATGTATAACTATAATTAAAGTCCATAGTTTCATATTTGGCTCCCATTGATTCCAAATGCATCCAAAATGCTCCAATATCCTTCACTTCTACTCAAATTAAAGATGATTAATTGTACCTAATTGATCAAATGAACAAAATAAGGATCATTTTGAAAATCATTATAACACTTTATAAATAAAATAAGGCTAAGTATTGGGTATATCTAAAAACATAATAAGTCTCAATCAAAGTTATACCTCTCATTTATGTCCATGTTTTTAATGCTAAACATTTTGTACATTGTGCTTTTAGATTTGTACTATACAATTTTTTGGACAAAAATACCCTTACCCCGTTATAACTTTCGTTATCTTTTCCATTACTTTTACCATGCACGTGCATCTACCATATCTTTTCTTATATTCTTTAATTATAACAATATTTGTAAAACATTATATATTCATTATATATTAGATTAATATAATAAATAAATTTTATTTCACTTAGATTTTAATTAGTAAAAATTTGTTAGCTATTTTTAAAAATATAAATATTGGGCATATGTTTTTGCGCATCGCGCATAGAAAAGACTAGTATGAGATATAAATATAAATATGAATAAATATGCCCTTTATCACTGATTTAAGAAAATTCAGAAAAATATCTAAACATGTTGGAGATGCCGGACATTAAAATTCGTTAGAAATACTTTATTTGTGGGGACGTACGGAAGAAAACTACGGAGTATTTAATTTCTTGCGTAGTAGCCAACCGACGCTCTAAATTAAAATTTTTAAGAGTTAATTACTAAAATGGTCCCTTAACTATAATAAAATTATTAATTTGGTCATCGACTATTTTTTAACTAATTAAATCTTATATAACTTTAAAAATCTTAACCAATTTGGTCCTCCGTTAGTTTTGCCGTTAGATTTCCGTTAACATGGGACCAAATTAGTAATTTTTCTATAGTTAAGTGACCATTTCAGTAATTAACTTTAGATGTGGGCAATTCGGTTCAGCTTTTTCGAACTAAACCGTACTGTCGATTAAGGGAAAACAAATAAAAGTTAGGGCATAAAATATTAAATATATTAAATATATAATAATATTGATGAGCTAACTACTGATTGCCAAACAAGGACATTGCGATGTAGTTTTCCACTTCAATTTGTTGTGTGATTTGAATACTCTTTTTGTCTGTAAACCCAACCAAGTAGTTAATATGATTGGCTTAATTATATTTTTTTAAAACAATTATTATTATTATTATTATTATTATTATTATTATTATTATTATTATTATTATTATTATATTAGTAGGGAGAATGATCATTTTAGTTCTTCAATTATATTAGAATAGCCAACAAACAAACAGATTGCATAGAATCGTTTGTCTCTGGTATTGAAAATGAAATTGCACTAGCAGTCCATTAATAGAGTATGGCATTGTCTGGTATTGAAAATGTAATGCATGCAGCAGTTCATTAATTAATATGGGGTGAGGTTCATAATGGGCCGGGGAAGAAAGTACAGTTTTGAGTTTTGCCAGTTACGTACGTCCACCTACCATGGATAGTTATGCTGTGCATCCGTATGCACCATGCATGGTGCATACGGATGCCAAAACGACGTCGTTTTATTAAAAAATGCGCGTCTTCCTTTAAAAAAAAATTCAGGTTCGATTCCCAGCAACAACATTATATTGTTCATTCATTCTGGAATTTTAGTTCATAGATTATGGAATTATAGTTCATTGATTATGGAATTATAGTTCATCGATTATGGAATTGTAGTTCATCGATTCTGAAATTTTAGTTTATAGATTATAGAATTTTAGTTCATTCATTCTGGAATTTTTAGTTCATAGATTAGATTATGGAATTATAGTTCATCGATTATGGAATTTTAGTTCATATGTTGTTGCTGGGAATCGAACCTGATTTTTTTTTTTTTAAGAGGAGACGCGCATTTTATTAAAACGACGTCGTTTTTGCATCCGTATGCACCATGCATGGTGCATACGGATGCACAGCATAATTTGCCACCTACCATAGTACCACTCCAACTCAAAGCCTCCAACTTTGTTGGTGAATGGTGAATGGTGAATGGTGAATGGTGATCCACCTACTCAGCTTTAAACCTTTTATATGCATGCATGGTAACGTTAATAGTAAGATCAGAAAATGTTGGGCTGAGACTCGTGAAGGGTTAAACCCAACACCAGGTCGTTAGGAGATGATTTTGTGGGCAGAATTTTGAAAGGTAAAGTCTAGCACCTTAACTCTCGAAAATGTGACAGGAATAAGAAAATAAAGTTATGTATTCGGTATGTCCATAACAAGTGATAAGCGATTGATCTTAACAAGTGATACCACAACCAGGTCTGGAAGGATGCTAATGAAGCTATGACGAAATCTAGCACCATATCTCTGGAAAATGTGATAATAGTGATAAGCGCTTATCAGATTGATAATACTAGATTATAATATATCTAGGCCAATCCTTAAAAAATAGGATATTAATGTCTAATAGTTGGATTTGGACCCACTTTTAAAAAACAGAACAAAAATATTATTAAGTATAAATATAAATTAAAAACGAAACATACTATTTTTTTTTTGTCAAAATATAATACATAAAAATTAAACGTGATATACTTCGTGCGTCTTTTTTTTTTTTTTTGAAATGCTTCGTGCATATTTTTAATAAAAAAATTTAATGTCAATTTCATTTAGATTTTTATTTTTAATTACAATTAAACTCAATCTATGAATTCTATAAATAAAATTATCAAGTATAGGGTTTTTCAGACAGCTAATCGATCATGTGGTTTCTCAAGGATGAAGTACCATTTTTTGGATTCACATTGATAAATTTTTAATTGCACAATATATACACTTGGCTTTGACAGTAACACCATTACTATCAGAAATTTTTTCAAAATGATCCCACACTCTTGATCTGAAATCAACTATCTTCCTTTTCTTCTTAAGAACTGTAGCAGTAGGTTGCATATTCTGTTGATTATTTGTGTCAACAATTTAAGCTTCCACCACTGTAGGTCCATCAATTTAAGAGTTGGAAGGTTGACTACTAGACTCTCTGATAATTTTTCATCTAAAGAAATGGAATACTATCAGTTAAGTGTTAAGTAAGAAACATAATGCAGAATATCATATAGTCAGTCATACATGACACGTTCACAAATAACTTGAGAACTTCAAAATCAAAAAGACAAGAACTTCAAAATTCATCATGTTTCTAAATTTCATAATTGAAGATTAAGGGTCATACATCCATAAACTTATACAGATAACAGAAATAAACATACAATGATACAATCACAGTATCACAGGCAGTAATAACTCATAGAACCTTGTTTTTTAAGGAAAAAAATGCACCCAAAAATCAGCTTTCACATTTGTGGAAAGCCAATTAATCACTTTTTTCTTATTTTAAAAACTACCAAAGAACCCCTATTGTGGTTGCTTTTATCTATATCTATAAGGAAGTTAATTAGTACAAGGGTCCGACACACTCTTCTTAATTGGCTCTATTCTTTATTAACCTACTTGAAAGTTTACATTGGATATATTTCGTGTCATTAACCTAGTCAGCAAATGACCACAATGAGAAGTTGTCCATAATTAATGGACTCAAACTAAGGAAGTTAGAATTTAAATTCTAACTTTGTAATTACAAGTTTGTATCTTTAGTGATCGTAGTTCGGTTACCCCAATTTTTTATTATTTTTTTTTCCAAAATGATGACATGATCCGCTCTATATAAGTTTGGAGCAGCCAGCTCCAGATTGAGCAAGGAAGCCTAGCCTGCAGCCATGGCTACGTCAACTCATCCAATAATTTCATGCACCAACATTAATTCCTTCTCCACCAAGTCATCGTCTTCTCCCGGTAACTTTTCCAGACGACCTTCCCAGATCTTTCTCAACCCTAACCCCAGGAGCGCAGCAAGACGTGGTGACGTCATCAAGATCCGGTGCGCTGCAGCCTCGTCGGAGGGGCGTGAAAACCCGCCGGACAGCAGCCTCTCTGAGGCGAAACTTGACCGGAGAAATGTCCTTCTGGGCCTCGGCGGTCTCTACGGCGCTTACAACTTGGGGGGCGGCGGCGCGTCCAACCCCTTTGCCCTGGCCGACCCTGTGCCGCTCCCTGACGTCTCCAACTGCGGCCCTGCTACCATTTCGTTCAGCACTTGTAAAGTGCCATACCGTTGTTGCCCTCCCATCACGGATACTACTAATGTTGATTACTATGAGATCCCCTGTTTTTCCAAGCTTAATGTCAGGCCAGCCGCTCACGCCGTAGACGACGAGTACTTGGAGAAGTACAAGACCGCCATTAAGCTAATGAAGGAACTTCCCCCCAGTGATCCCCGAAGCTTCGACAATCAAGCTAAGGTCCACTGCGCTTACTGCAATGGCGCTTATCAACTCGCCGGCCAGCCCTATCAGATCCACTTCAACTGGTTCTTCTTCCCTTTTCACAGATGGTACTATACCAACTAATTAATTAACGCCCGCACTTAATTTTTATATTATTGCTATTGCTAATACTAATAGGCCGGACCAAATAAAATTGGTGGGTGGGTATTTGCTCTATTATTTAATAGTGAATTCCATTTTTGGTCCTACTATTATATGGCCGTTTTCAATTTTAGTCTACCTTAATTTTTTTTGCCTCTTTATAACTACTATTATTGAGTGTGTTTCACTTTTAGTCCCAGCGTTAGTATTTTCATCAAGAGGCCGTGTAATCTAGGGGTATTTTGACCTTTCTTCTCATCCAAAATTATGTTTGACTAAAGAAATGAGAACATTAAACCTAAAACGTAAGAAACCTCGCCGGCCCATGTTGAAACGAACGAAACGATGTAGCTTTGACTTCCCATTCTCGTTGTTCGAAGAGCCATCTTCGAATATCGGAGGAGGAGGACGAAGCGCCTGGATTAAAGGAGAAGAGACAAACATAAAAAGACCAAAGTACCCTTTAATTATATGACTCTTGACGGAAATATTAACCGTGGACTAAAAGTGGAACACATTCAATAACAGTGATTGTAAAGTGGCAAAAAAAAATTAAAGTGGACTGAAATATTATTTAATTTGCATTGCATATATGTATGTATGTATGTATCAAGTATCTGTACTTCTTCGAAAGGATCATGCAAAGCATGATTAACGACCCAACATTCACGTTGCCGTACTGGAACTGGGACAATCAACCGGGCATGACTTTCCCGAGGATCTTCGACGACGACAAGGAGTTGTCGCCGCTGTACGACCAGTACCGCAACCAGCTCCACACCACGCAGTTCCACCGCAAGCGGCCCCTCAGCAAGGCATACGTGATGGATCTAGCATACTCCAGCGACGAGATCTTAGCCAGCGACCCCCAAAAGGTGAATAACAATCTTGCGATTATGTACCGGCAAATGATAACCAACGCGCCGTGTCCGTTGCTCTTCTTTGGCAAACCTCTTCGCGCTGATAATGGCCAGGTCGGCAGCTCCGGCATGGGGACCATCGAGAACATCCCGCATAACTCTGTCCACCGATGGGTGGGGGACCCCAGAAGTGCTAATCATGAGGACATGGGTAACTTCTATTCTGCTGCTAATGATCCGGTGTTTTATTCCCTCCATTCCAATGTAGACCGCATGTGGAGCATTTGGAAGAGTCTGGGTGGCAAACGCAAGGATATCACCGACCCCGATTGGCTCCAAACTGAGTTCCTGTTCTATGACGAAACCAAGACTCCTGTCAAGGTCAAGGTTAAAGATTGTTTGGACAACGAGAAGCTTGGGTACACTTTTCAGGACATGCCCATTCGATGGAAGCATTGGAAACCCACCAAGAAAAGAACGGCGAAACTGAGGAGCCTGGAGTCAGTACCCGTAATTTCCGACGTCTTGCCGGCACCCTTTAGAAAGATTTTAACGTTTCACGTGACGAGATCAACATCAGTGAAAGACACAGAGGAGGAGCTGCTGAATTTCGACCTAGTCTACGACGACACCAAGTTTATACGGTTCGATGTGTTCCTGAACGAGGACGAGGACGTGAATACGAAGGAGCTGGACAGGATGGAGTACTCCGGAAGTTTTGCCAACTTGCCACATGTTCATGAAGGTGGCTCCGCTACTCCCAAGAAGACCACTTTTACCCTGGCCATCTCGGAGCTGATTCAGGACTTGGGGCTGAAAGGTGAGGACAAGGTTCTGGTGGCTCTGGTGCCAAAAGCTGGGGGAAAATTTGTCACCGTCGACAAGGCATATATCAATACTATGGATTGCTAGTTAAGATCTATGTATGTATGTATGTATGTCCATGCATGCATGTTGTACGTCGTCTGCCTACCGGTGCCGCAACTTCAAATAAGCTAATAATTAAGGTGTTTGTTTGTTGTAATAATAAGTGCTCACTCCACATGAGTAATAGTAAGTGTGTTAATAATGTATGTGGATGTAGTGGTTGGGAATTAGGTTTTTGCCAATCACTAATTGTAATGTCTCTTAATTTTCTAGTGTAATAAGCGGTGCATTTCTTGTTGTGCTTATTTTGATTTAAAAGTCTATATATTATACATAATTGAATTGAATTATGTGTTCAATCTCAACTAAAAAGCTAATTTAGTTGATAGTTGTATAGATGCCCCTTCATGTGTGCGAGCTGGTTGTCTCTAACACCAAATTGAAGCATGTATTATATTTCATCTCAACTAAAAGTCTGAGTTGATAATTGGATCACACATGCATTTATGTTTATATATTACATAGTCAACATATCTCACCCCATTTTAATTTATTTCATACATATACCTACCATACTCATATTGATTATATTCATGATTGATGTGCAGTGTTAATTTTAAAGTATGGTAGGTGTTTAGTTGTTTTTCTTTTTCTCTCTTTTGTCCAATTAATATAAGTGGCCTGGCATACCAAAAGTATATACTCTAGGTAGGTTTTTTCCCTTTTGTTAACCTTTAATTTGCAAACCGGCCACTTGAACATATAATAAATGTAGAATAAGAAGGAGCACACTAGTAGAAATGCAAGTTTGTCAAAAGATATGGTAGCCATATTAGATGGGAATGAGATCAAAGAATGTTACTAAATATGTTTATATAATCTCCTTTTGTGAATTATATTGTCATTCTAGTCCAAACAATTTTGCCATTGTACTTACTATTTTGTAGTAACTACAACAACCTTTGAGTTTTAGCGATAGATGAGGCGGATCGGATATTTTAGGTATTGGACCAAAAGTATGGTAATGTCGTGTGAATGGCATGCATGTATAGTATAGTGTGGTAAATAAGGGTGAAATGTGATCCTTAAAAAATTAAAATGTTATTCTAAAAAAAAAAATTAAAATTAAAATGTTATAACATGCGATATGCATTAACAAAAAAGACTAGTTGTCCAAGCACACCAACTAAGTTAGCCTTGTCAGTGGATCTCCCGCATATGTCCCCTACTCCAACACTATAAATATTGGTTTCACCAATTTGAAAAATATTTGATTTTTGAAATTAAATATAGTATACTTATTCTCGTTGATACCCGATTTACAACTATATATACGAATCTAATTAGGCAAGTATATATATCGTTTTTTAGCATAGAAAATTGAATAACGAGTGTTGTCCGTAGGGACTACGAGTACTAGTACTTGTCGTGATATCTTAGGATATCATTGACCATAATATATAAATAAATGCCAATAACAATAATATATTCCTCAGCACTTGACCTCATAATTTATGCTAATACCTTTCTCAAGAATATTAACAACTAATGGGTTAGAACGGATTGGGCTATATTTATAAAATGGCTATTTTAGTCTTGTAATCTCTAATCCCTAACATCTTTGATTTATTGCGGGCCACCATTATCTTTTCCAGATTTGCATTTTACATAGAGACAGTATAATCTTGATTTATAACCAGGAACACCGCAAGCTAGGTCGGCATTCGTGATGGATCTAGCATACTCTGGCGACGAAATCTCCGCCAGCGACTTCCAAAAGGTGAAAAACAATATAATCTTGCGATTATGTAAGTGTTTTATTGCCATGCCACCATTCCAATGCATACAATTCGTATGCATGGTGTTTTGTTGTTCTTCTACATTGTCTCTATCTATTATTTCAAACATCCTCTCTCAAATAGGGGTGTGCGGGCATTTGGTTAATCATCGAATCGAATTAATAAAACTTTTCAAACCCTTGAACTGTTAACCAAATCAAAGTTTATATTACCGAACTAATCGAATTACAAAATGATACTCTTTACTCCACAATAAAATTTTTGAAGAGGCTAAAGACGAAAACTGAAACCTCGGGTATGATTACATGAATTAGCCTCACTAACCCTAAACAATGTTGTAAGTGTAGTGAACGTTCTACATTTTCAAAGTAATGTACAATATCAACTTGTTGCAATCTAAAGGTGAAACTCCTATATTTGATAAGTTTCGATCACTTGTTGAACGTTCTTTTTCTCGCAAGATTATTTCTTTTCAGTCTGATTTAGGGGGAGAATATAAAAAGCTTGGTTCCACTCTTGCTTCGCTGAGTATTCATCACAGGCAATCCTGTGCGTATACTCACGAGCAGAATGGTTGAGTGGAACGCAGGCATCGTCATGTTGTTGAGACAGGGCTGTCTTTAATGGCTCAAGCGTCTGTCCCGTCTCACTTTTGGGACTATGCTTTTGAAACTACTGTATATCTAATTAATAAAATGTCTACTCGTGTTCTGTCTGATGAGTCTCCTCATTTTCGTTAGCATCGATCTCCCCCGTCCTACTCTTACTTGCGAGTATTTGGTTGTTTGTGTTTTCCTGTCCTTCGTCCATATAATCGCAATAAACTCCAGTTTCGTTCGTCTCCCTGTGTTTTTCTAGGTTATCCTCCGTCTTATCGTGGCTACCGCTGTTTGGATACTAACACTAACAAGGTTTTTATCTGTCGTCATGTGCGATTCGATGAGACTGTGTTTCCCTTTGTTTCTCCTGTTGCCTCGCAGGTTGCTAGACCATGTTCCGAACCTTGGGTTGCTGCACCGGTTGTGACGTGCCGAGGTAGTGATGTCTTAGCCACGGCTGATGATGGCGCTCGGCAGTCGGATGAGCTCGTGTCGGCTTTTGGCGATGGTGATGATAATGGTCCCGGAGTAGTCCGCATCGAGTGAGCGTACTGTCTCAGACCAGTAGGTTGCGCAGCGCAGATGTCCTCGGCGAGCCACTCCTCCTCCTCGGTCGCATGCTATGAACACTCGTAGCTCGAGTCCGCATCAACATGTCGCCTTAACCACTATTTCTACCATAGTCCCTGAGCCTACCTGTTTCTCTCAGGCGGTCAAGTTTCTTGAGTGGCGTGATGCGATGGACGCGAAGTTCAATGCCTTGGTCCATAATCATACATGGCGTCTTGTTCCGTTTTAATCAGGTATGAATGTTGTTGGTTGCAAGTGGGTTTTCAGAACCAAACGGAAGATCGATGGTTCAATAGAACGTCACAAAGCTAGGTTGGTGGCCAAGGGTTTTAATCAGGTTGCTGGAGAAAACTTTTTTGAGACCTTTAGTCCTGTGGTTAAGCCCACTACGGTACGCCTTCTCTTATCTTTAGCCGTATCTCGGGGGTGGACTATTCGCCAGTTGGATATTCACAACGCCTTTTTAAATGGCGAGTTAGCTAAGACTGTTTACATGCGACAGCCACCTGGTTATGGGGATAAGTCATTAACTGATCATGTGTGTTTGCTTAAAAAATCTCTATACGGGCTCAAACAGGCTCCGCGTGTTTTGTTCACAAGGTTAAATGATTTTCTTGTCTCTGTGGGCTTCTCGCTTTCAAAGACGGATGTGTCTCTTTTTATCTATTCTCGTGGCAACATTCGTCTTTATTTCTTGGTGTATGTTGATGACATTTTGATTATGGGTTCTAACTCAGATCGTGTTACTGCTCTTATTGATAAATTAGCCCTTGAGTTTAAGGTTCGTGATATGGGTGTGCCTTCTTCCTTTTTGGGTATTGAAACTGTCCCGTTATCTGGCGGTATGCTTTTATCGCAACAATGATACATGAAGGATATTCTCAAACGTGCTGGCATGGTGGACTGCAAGCCAGTAGTCACACACGTCTCTTCTGCGAAAATCACCGACGAAGTTGCCGTTCCCTATGCCGATCTTACACAGTACTGGAGTCTTGCAGGTGCTCTCCAGTATCTTACGGTAACTCGTCCTGATTTATCTTATGCTGTTAATCTCTTGTGTCAACACATGCATGCTCCCACTACTACGGACTAAGCCTCTAAAAAGAGGCATGCGGTATGTCAAGGGCATCCTGAATCTTGATCTGCGTATTTCTCGGTCTACATCTATGGATATTCACGCCTATTCTGACACAGGTTGGGCTGGCGATCCGGATGATCGCAAGTCTACTAGTGGCTTTGCTATGTTCTTGGGCAATAATCTTATATCTTGGGTTTGTCAGAAGCAATTCACTGTGGCGCATTCTTCAACTGAAGCAGAATACAAGGGACTAGCTGATGTATCTGCAGAGGTTACATGGCTTGTTTCCCTGTTACACGAAATCGGCATCCCTCCTGCGTCTCCTCCTCGACTATGGTGTGATAATTTGGGAGCTACTTACTTATGTGTCAATCCAGTGTTTCATGCCCGCACGAAGCACATTGAGATTGACTATCATTTTATTCGCGATAAAGTAGCCAAAAAGGAGTTAGAGATGCACTTTATTTCAATAAAGGATCAACTAGCGGATATCTTTACAAAGTCTATTTCGTCTCTGCGTTTTAATTCTCTCTGTGACAAGCTCAATGTTTTGGCTACCCAACGTAACCTTGTGCTTGAGGGAGAGTATTAGGACTATATTATTCATATTAGACTAGGACGATATTATTCGTGTTAGATTAGGACTATATTATTCGTGTTAGACTAGGACTCTATCTAGTATCTATATATTCGCTCTCTGTACTCTCAGACATTATGATTGAATAAAACACTTTTACATACACTCTCATCCTAATGTAATTCAATAAAAGAATAAACAACATTGTTTGGTTTTTTTTTTTTTAAAAAAAAAAAAACATTGTTTGGCTTGAGGAAATTGCAATTTTCTCAATTCATTTTTTTCAAAAGGTTGAATTCCCAACTCCAAGGCGGAACCACAGGCTAGACCTTTGTTTACTGGGCACAAAGAACCCCCTCACTTTGATCCCTAGTCATTCTTCTCAAACTTTACCCCTATGACCAACTAAGTTGTCCATGCGGGCTTGAATTACAATTCATAACCTCCCACTAGGGG